TTATAGGCTATATATTGGGCTATATTACATCATTGATATTAACCTAGCCGCAACGAGCGTGCACTTAATTTCCGGTGCGCAAACCGATTTTCACAGCGACCAACAATTTTGCGACTAATTATAAATTTGAATTAAAAGTTAACGTACTTGTCATTTGCAATCAAACTATTTTGCCAAAAAATGCAACACTTTATATATATATATATATATATATATATATGTGTAAATTGTGTTATTTAAAATGCTCGCTATAAAAGTTATCAATTTTATCCTTTTCGTTTATTTATTTACTTAACACATTTATTATTTTTATTTCATGTTTAAAATGTCACTTTCACCACAGAAAGTTATCAAACACAATACATAATTTGGGATGTATTAAAAAAAAGGCACTGTAGTAAATATATTCATGACATTTACGAAAAATGACAGTCCACGGGAAACAATGACAGTCAAAAGAAACACACATATACTTTTCTTTCTGAAACAGCTAATCATGGGCTCATGGCTCAACATGTTGGGCGCTATCCTGCGTGTCATTGGCATGATAAACTGCATCCCAGAGTGGGCCATGTTCCCTATGGTCATGGGGGGCCAGACGCTCTGTGCCTTTGCCCAGCCTTTGGTCATCTTTGCCCCCACCAAGCTGGCAGCTCTCTGGTTCCCTGAACACCAGAGGGCCACGGCTAACATGATGGCTTCCATGGGTAACCTTTTTTACAGCTCATATCTTATATGGTATTTCAATGCCTTTAGCCTAACTTACTGTAGAATGGTAATATTCTTCTCTTTTGTTTTCCAGCAAATACTGTTGGGCTGCTCTTGACGAATGAATATCTTCTCTCCGATGATAATTAGTTACACCAGTACACTTTTCATGCTGGTAAGAACTTGGTGTACATCCCTATAGTCCCGCTTTCTCTCTGTCTGACTTGTAGCTGTTGATATATGCTAAACCTGCCATCGTAGCCTGTTTCCTAGCAACAGTGGGGATCCGTGAACGCGTCCCCCCGACACCCCCCTCTGCCAGCATGGTGACCTCCAGCTCTGAACCTTTTCTACAGGGGGTGAAACTGGTACTACACAATTTTAAACAAACTGACATGACAACTTATTGCATGAGTGCATTTTTCGAGAATTTATGAAATATAGCATCTGACTACAGGTGGCTCTTGTCATTTTGTACTGCTGTCTGAGATTCACTGCATTTTGTCACTCTTTTATTTACAGCTACTGACAAACAAAGCATACATGGTCCTGCTGGTGTGTTTTGGTTCAGGAATAGGGGTATTCACTTGCTTTTCCACCTTGCTGGAGCAGATACTTTGTGTTAAGGGCTACTCAAATGTAAGAACCCAAAAAGAATTTACCCACATTTACCTCAAACCATAAAACTAACCTGTGCAATAATATGTTAAATAACTAGCTCAACTCAACTAACTCGAAAAACAAAGTTTGCTAACTTTAAATGATGGATTGACAACACCTTGACTTATACATTTAAAAAACATAGCACTGCACTACCTAAGAAAGCTAGATAGATAGATTATAGATAGGAGGTTTATATAAACATCACTTTCAATTGCCTGCCAAATCTGTACAGTATTAGTAGTGTTAGCTTTGTCAAGTGAATATAACTTTGTCTCTACATGTTTAATGTGGCAGGACTTCGCAGGACTGTGCGGTGCAGTTGCTATTGTATTCGGTGTTCTGGGTGCTTTTCTCCTCGGCCTGTACGTGGATAAGACCTAGAAGTTTACAGAAGTCACTAAGATAAACATGTGTCTGACATCCCTGGGCTGCTCTGTTTTTGCTGTGGTGAGTAGAGTAATGATTTCAGCGTTGTTAATGTGTGTTTGACCTGAGATGTCATCCTGCTGTCCGTCAGGTTTCCCAGTTAAGCGAGCAGAAGGTCATCATTGGTGCAGTATGTGCGTGGTTTGGATTTTTTGGGTACTCTGTATATCCCATCGCAATGGAGCTTGGAGTTGAATGCTCATATCCTGTGGGTGAAGCAACATCCTCTGGATTGATCTTCGTGTCTGGATAAGGTTTTTATTACGTGTTTTTAACAACAGCTTGCTAAAACTCTTCTCTTAAAGGAATAGTTCACCAAAAATGAAAAATTTCTCACAATTTACTCACCCTCAGGCCTTTCTTGACCAGTTTGTTTCTTCATCAGAACACATTTGGGGAAATGTAGAATTTCATCACTTGATCACCAATGGATCCTCTGCAGTGAATGGGTGCCGTCAGAATGAGTGTCCAAACTGCTGATAAAAACATCACAATAATCCACACCACTCCAGTCCATCAATTAAAGCTGTGTGTTTGTAAGAAACAGTTCCACCATTGAGATGTTTTTTTTTAAACTTCAAACTGTGGCTTCCAACTAAAATACACTAAAAATAGAGTCCTCTATTCATAATTTTGCTTTCTCCTGGAAAAAAAAAGTCATCTTGTCTGAATCAGGAGAGAATTATGTACAGATTATGCATGCACTGTGTACAAGTGAAAACAGACCAAAATAGTTCAAAGTAAATATGTTGGTGGATTTTGATGTGAGAGGACAACAGGAGATCAAATTTTACTGGAGGAAACGTTATTATGGACGGTGTCAAATTAAAATCGTCTTAAAGATAGATTTGTTTCTTACAAACACAGCTTTTCACTTCACTAGACATTAACATTAAATGATGGACTGTAGTCATGTGGATTGTGGATTATTGTGTTATTTTTATCAGCTGTTTGGACTCTCATTCTGACGGTACCCATTCACTGCAGATTATCCATTGATAAGCAAGTGATGTAATACTACATTTATCCAAATCGTTCTGATGAAGAAACAAACTTATTTACATCTTGGATGGCCTGAGGGTGAGAACTATTCCTTTAAGCTTACTACCATTTTATAGACTTTACTGATGTGTTTCATGTGATGTTTAATCAGACAAATTCAGGCCGCCCTTTATCTGCTCCTGCTACAAGCTCTGGCCAAACCAATGGCAGATTCTCCATTATCTGTATGTGCTACTGGAGCAGATGCCAATTTGAGCTGGACAGGTGAGTATTGCACTTATTTGAAATATTTCACATACTAGGTATTAACTGAAAGATAGTATGCAGTACGCTGTGCAGTAAGTGGTAAAAAGCATGGCTTTATTCTAGTGGCGAATAGTTTCCTCCCTTCACCGTGTCACGACTCCCACCATGCTTTGCAAGTCTAGTGTGGCTGGTTAGTGCACTAGTTTCACATCTACTTTCCACATAAACTGAATCCAATGTGGGTAGTGAAAATGTTCAAAATGGGAACACGTCCAAATTAATTCAGCCTTCCGGCTTTTCCTGGTCGCTTGATGCCTTGATGAGTTAATGATAGAGTTGGGCTGAGCTCCAGGCATTCGTTTCTCTCTCTCTCTTGCTCTTTATCCTAAATGCACAGACACACACACACACACAGTGCCAGTGCTGGTGATGGCAGGCCTGTGTACTCTGGGCACCTGCTGCTTTGTTGGCTTTTTCCACACGGATTACCGGAGACTCCGTGCGGAAGCCACAGCCTCACCAAATACAGTGACAGACCAGTCAACAGGAGACGCCTGGGCAAACAGCACTGATGCATAAAGGGACGGACTGATCTAACAGCAAGAGAAACCACTGACAGTGTTTACGTACACTTTAAGAAGTCTTTTACCTCATTAACATCGGAAATACGTGCCTTAAATGCTCAGAAGTGGTACCAGCTTAACCGCAATTAATGTTACATAAAGCTAAACCAAGACCAAATGTTTCATGCAATATTAATATCAAATTTTAAATGTTTTTATTGCAATACAGGGTACAGGGATTTTTTAACTGTTGTACTTAATGCATTAATAATTATTTTACAATGTAGTTATTTGATGAGGTACATATGTTGTTGGATGTTTAAAGTTGGAAACTTAGGCTGTTAGTTATATTATGAAAGTAGAGATATATTTGAGTGCAATAAAATGTCCATAGGACTAACTTTCTACCTTAAGTAAATGCATAAATAAAGAGTTGCTGGGTTAGAATAACTGTTGTGGTTTTAAAAAAAAAGAGAAGGTAATTGCAACTTTTTCTTGCAAATAATTTTTTTTTTTTTTTTTGAAGATCTTAAAATTTCTAGATATAAACTCACAATTCTGAGAAAAATAATTGCGAGGTATAAAGTCAGAACAGTTTTATTTCTAACAGTAAAAAAAAATTAAAAAGTAATTGCAATTTCTCACAATTTACTTTATTCCTTGCAATTACAAGTTTACATCTCACAACTGACAATTTTCTTCTCAGAATTGCAAGTTTATATATATTTTTTTCAGAGAATTGTGAGAAAAAGTGGCAATTACCATTTGTTTTATCATTGTGGGAAAAAGCTTCCATACTGTATATAGCTATACTAGGATTTAAACTGTGGTATTGATGCAAAATATTGCACAGCTTTATGAAATACTCAATTCTGATCGGTCATTGTGTGGTCAAAATGTTTTGAATGACCGCTAAACTGTACATTTGTCCATTGACTCCTTCGCTGCTACTTTTCTCTCTCAGAACTCTTATGGTCTCTTTCCTCTCACTTAAGTGAAGTATTTTCAGTTCTGATCAGTATTTCATTTCCAATCATTTATTTATTTAGCAAAGTAGCCATGCAATAAGCGTGACCGTGTACAGTAAGATGGGCATTTACACTAACCCCAGATGAGTGCTCAGGAACCATTTAAATCATTATCTATTGCCTATTCCTGCTAACTTGACCAAAACATTTGTTTATATGTTAATAAAATTAATTATACAATCAAAAACACTGTTTTTGGAACGTAATTTTTCACTCAATATACTCATCTGCACATTTTATACGTTTTATCTTAATTGTATGAACAGTTCACAAAGGACTTAAATTGTCAGTTATACCCAAAAATGATCATGTCAGTCCACATCCTCTTAAATGCATGCAAGAACAACACATAAGCAGGGTGATTTATTATTTTTTTGATTTTTTGATTTTGTATTTTTGTAAAAAAAAAAAAAGAGGAAGACATCTTATCATCCAAAACATGGCATTACAGAGGCAAAAGAGCTCAGTCTGCTTTACAGAGGCACACCATTGATAACGTAGAATTACTTGTAACCCAACTCGACTAAATCGTTTTTCAATCAAAATGACATAAAACGCATAAAAACTAGTAGTTTCATGCCATGGTTGCTTGAGTAAAACAAAGCTCTTTATCATGGTTTACTAAACACCAAGCATTTTAAAAGACCTACACTTACCACAGAGCTGATGACAATGGGTTAAAAAAAAAAATGAAAAGAAAAACAGAAACACTACACAAACATATCAAGGGCCCAAAAAGGGTCAGACATTTCCCAATATCTCTACTTACAAAACAACCATCTCCAATGATCCTGATGGATGTCACTAAACCTTGAAATGCCACATAAACAGGCAGGTGTGACAGTCTGAAGGGATGCATTGTGGGATTTCAGAGCTGAAGGGCACAGAACTGCTGGTAAACAGCCAGGATATGATGGTCGAGCTCAGCAGTAAACAGCAGGTTCTCAAGGGTACCCATATACTGCTGGATGATCACATGATGCTGTGGACAACAATGAAGATTGAAGGTAATTAATAAGAGATGTTTAATGACCAACAATACACAGTATAGACCTGCAAACATGTGGATCAGGACTACCATGAGGAAGATCTGCTGTAGCCTCTCGATGCCGTTCTTGTACCAGGTGGTGTTGAGGTCTACGCCGCTCGTTTCACAGCGAACCAGGTGCTCTGTCAGTAACATAATGAAGCGCTGAAAGAAAAAGAGATAACAACAGTTCTTTTGTCATCTCTTAGCTCCAGGCACTGTCTTCAAATATCATAATGAAACACAAAAGACACACAGAGAGAAAAAGACATGAAAAGAATGTAATGTTTATTCTTTCCTGACAAATAGGAACAATGTGTAAAAGGAGTTGTGACATTAACAGGGACACATCTTTTGCAACTTTTTTTTTTTTATGTAGTAATGAAGCCTGTATAAAAAAAACGTATTAACAAAAAAGCTTTTTACATCAGGATAAAATGGATCTGCATTGTCATGGACGCACGCACCTGGAATATAACAAGGAAAAGGTTCTTCTGTTCACTCTGGGCCGACTCTACTTTCTCCTGCAACCTCTCGATCTGTTCCTCCAACTGACCCTCCTCATCCTCACTGTTCTTCTCCATGTCCTCTTCATCACCGCTGTCCCGCTGCTACAGGAAGAGAGAAACTTTTCAGATCTCAAACACATAAGGCTCTCAGTAATTAATGGGCATCACTCTGTATCAGGCTTCACATTAGTGGTTTAAAGCAAAGCTTTTAAAAGAACGCAGCAACGCACAGATACTCAGTACAGAGTCATCATCACAACCAAATATTCTTAAATAAACCAAAATATTTTAGCAGTTATTGGTGCAAAATGATTTTGCAATAATTTTCCTTAAAGCTACACTATATTGTTTTTCAATAATTAAAAGTGATCATTAAATAATTTTAATCATTTCATTACATTTGAGTGTAGTGCCCAAAGGCTTAGGCCGTTTCTCAATATGCGTTCTTCAGCGATCTTGCGTTCATGTGTTCTCGCACTACATCAAAATGCCATACCTGTAAGCTTTAACTTGAAACTTCCTGCTGCAAGCTCGAAATACTTGATGGCTTGTGAAAGTAAAAATTTGTTGTTTTATTTTGAATCAATAAGTTGATAAAGACCTGGAGAAAGCCAATGTTTTCATTGGCACATTAAAATAATCTTAATATTGACAAAGCACAGGTAACATTAAATATACATACTCATTTTCACAAATATAAACGGTAAAATAAAAGGTATAAAATATGAAAATAATATCAAATAACTGTTTTAATAGGTTATGATGTTTGTTTGTAATATGTTGTAACTAGTGCTGTCAAAATTAGCACGTTAACGCAGACAATTAATTTTTCCAGTTAAATGGTGTTAAAAATATTTATACATATTATATACATTATATTATATACATCTTTACGACCACATCAAATAGGACTAGGCATATGATGGTATGAAATTTTCATGTTGCGATTAATTGCTAATGATTTTATCACGGTATATGGTATTACCACGGTATTGAGATTTAGTTGCAAAAAAATGTTGTCAAACAGGTTTAATAACTTTTTTCTTATAACAGAAAAAAAACTGAACATTTACATACAATAAATACACAAAAATGCATGAAGTAAAAAAAATTCACAGATTAAAGTGCAAATGAATTATTATAAAGACCAATAAGTAACACTTTACAATATGATCTTATTAGTTAACCTTTGTTAATGCATTAACAATTAACAATGAGCAATAGCTACATTTGCCACTGAAGTTATTAATCTTTGTTTAAAAAAATACAACTGTTAGTTCATTAAATAACACAGTTGTGCCTTTTGATTTTAACGTGTTATTAAATATTGAAATTACCTGAATTTTACTAATGAATTTTTCATTGGCAGTTTATGTTAACTAATTAATTAACTAATGTTAATTAATAGAGCCTTAATGTAGCCTAAAGTGTGACCAAACAATACAGAATCAAACATTTTAAAACAATACCTATGGCATGTTGTAGTCAACATTAAAGGGGTCACATGATGCGATTTCAAGTTTTCCTTTCTCTTTGGAGTGATACAAGCTCTTGGTGCATAAAGAAGATCTGTAAAGTTGCAAAGACTAAAGTCTCAAATCCAAAGAGATAATTCTTTATAAAAGTTAAGAGTCAGCCACACCTACCTAAAACGGCTCGTTCTAACAGCTCCCACATGTCTACGTCACGATGTGGGAAGATTTGCATAACGCCACCCAAATGTTCACGCAAAGAAAGAAGGCGTAACTTTTATTCTCGCTGTAGTATTGTTGTTGCCGCCGCCATGTCGTGAAGGCACTGTGTGATTCGTTGTGAAA